CCAGTGTTGACCAAGTATTATCTGTATTTATATCATTTTTGGACAGGCTACTAATAACTTAACTACATAATGAAAAGTTTTGTACTGCAATTTTTTTTAATAAATTCTCAAAATAAAGAGAGGTATAACTTTTGATAACTGAACAGTTAAAATATTTTCTGCCAAAAATGCTACAACTGGATACACAAAGTTTTTTTTTTTCTTGTTAGACTTTCTTTCAAATTTGTATAATTAATCTTATCTAATTCTAAAAAAAAGATTTATTTCATCAATTTGATTTCAAGCAGTACTGGAGGTTTTTTTTTTTATATCCCTTTGAACAGCAGAGGATGTTATTTGACCCTTTGGCACACCTGGTGAATTTTTGGGTTGCATTTTTCCATGAACTTCTCTGGTATCAATTTGAAGGCCAATGTAGTTAACAAATAACTGTATTGTTTGTAACATTCAGATTGGCATTTGGAACTGATTTTCTCCATTGTTTCCCTTTCATCTTTGTCTTTTGGAAAATGATAAATTGATATTTTATTTATCTTACACACATAGTTTTGTTTTGCTGGCTTCTGTAATTTGTTTTTCAAAGCAATGACACAACAATTATGGGGTATTGCTGGAAACTAAGGTAATAATCTGAAATGATTAAAAGCTTCTTAAGAACAATTATTTCTTTTACTGCTTCAATTTACGGGTAACTATTCAAGCCAAATTATACTCTTAATCCCAACTTTGACCTCCACCATACTATTTTATATATAAATGGTATATATTTTAAACCGGAAACTAAAATAGTTCAATATTAAAAAAAAAAAAAACCCACAAATTACTCATGAAAATATAATATAGCAACTCAAAATAAATCTTATACTTACTTCAATTAAATAAGGTAAATGATATTCCAAACAAAAGGAAAAATATCTTTGACTAACTTAAGCCAACAACACTAGTAGAATAGCTAGCTCAAACTGAAACTGAAACTAAAATGCCTGCTGCTTTAAAACTGGCCTCCAGTTCTGCCTCTTAACTATATTATGACTTGGCCATCTAATGTTAGGCTCATTGTTTTATGAAAGTCAATTTCTCACAACTCTGTTTGATTTTTGTTCTGGTAAGGGGTGTAATGATGGCATATATATAGTGCCTTGCATAAGTATTTTTGGAAGCACTGTGGTGTAATGGATAGTGACTCAGATAGAGAATTTGGAGAGGTGAGTCTGAATTTCATTTGGATCCATTACATTCCCTTATGTGCTAATGTCTTTGGAGAAGGTATGAATCCTCTTCTTCTCCTCTCAGCTATGGGTAAATAGCAGGAAAGACTGGGTTCTATAGCCTTGGGTGGCAACTGGTCTAGGAGAAAGTAACTCTGAATTCAAAACTGTATATAATCCTGGCGTAGCACATACTATACAGCTAAAGAAATGATTGTACACATTGGCTCAATGAACCCGACTATGGTCGAATGATAATGACAATGCATAAGTATTCACTCATCTTAAACTTTTCTACATTTATTAGTGTTACCAACTGGAATTTAAATGGTCTTTTTACAAATTGATCAAAACAAAATGCACAGTGCTTTGAAGGTGCCAAATAGATTTTAGTATGACACAATCACTAGAATACAGCAGTTACCCCTTGAATGCATAAGTATTTATGCCAACACCCTCAAGTCATTAATTTGTAGAATCACCTTTTTGTAGTGACCAATATACTGATGATGATGTGGGACCTATGCTGATGACACAGGTATTCATAGCTGGGGTAAGAATGATCTTGAAAAACAAATCAACATCTTCTACCAAGTATTCCAAGAAATAGGACTAAAGATGAATCTTTTCAAAACAAAAACTATAACCTGGAATGAAAGCATTGATGGTGCATACTCTGAATCCATCATAAACATTTAGAATGTGGAATTAGTAAATTGTAGATGCTTCAAATACCTTTCGGTGTATGGGAAAAAAAAAATCATTAATTAAGAAAGTAGGGATGTAAAACATGTGTGCCAAAAAAAAAAAAAATTCTCTATTATTTTGAACAGAGAACAATTTAAAAAAATATATATTCTCTTTACACATAAGAGTTTTAAAACCAATGGCCCAAAAATGGAAATGTTATTTTCATGGCAACAGTGTTTACACAATGTAAACATTTTTAAATGCAAATATTTCTAATTCTGCTTAAAATCTTGAAATAATATTTATATCAGAATTCTGTCTATTCTTTCAGCTTTTGATTAGTAGAAAGGAAATGATCATAAAATTAAGTTTTATACATGTTTCATAGCTTTGTTTTTTACTTAGGTGTCAAATTTTCCGACATGAAAATTGAAGATAACTATTAAATAGGCAGCCAGTTTGAAACTATATTGTTTATTTATTCAATATTTTTATATTTGCCCCAATGTTTGCTGAATGTAAATCCCAAACAAATCTTATCAAAACAGTGAGTTCAAAGTGAACCTGTTCATATCCCAGTTTGTTTATAATGAAAGCAAAATCAATCATCAATGGTTTCATTTAAAATTTAAATAAAAAAGAAATACATGAAATGCTTATTATTTTAAATATTGCATCATTTAAAAGGTTCAAAGGAAAAATTTTGAATTTTCTAAAAGTATTTTTTTAATAAAATTTTGTATTTTAAGAACAAATTGGAATCCATTTGTGATTTTATTACTTGTTTTACTGTCTTATTTGTTAGTTTTTATCACAACACTTGAGATCAATCACTTTTTGACTGCTATAGTAACCACTAGGTTGTCATGTGACAGTTAAAATAAAACAAGATCATTTTTGTGCAAAAAGAGTCCCCAATGATTTAAAAATTAAAAGACACTTTAAAAGATATTAGTAAGGTTCACATTACATAACTGAATACAATACATTTTTCAACAACCAGAAATCATCCAACCAAATTTTTGTGAGCATCTTTTTTCATAGAAAAGAAAAAAGTGGTTTGGTTCACTCAATGTATGCTTTTTCAACTTCTCATCAGTTCATCAAATGTCACAATGAACAAAGAACATTAGCCATGTTTAGTGTGGTTAGGCCATTTCAATGTCAACTATGTACAAAGAATTCATTGGAAAACTCCCCTTGCAAAAATACTCTTTCAACAAGGACTTTCTAAAAATAATGTCCAAACTGTTTTTTCTTATAAAAATCATATTGATTATTTGTACATATTAATATTTGAAGGTTTTGCATTCATACAACCTTATTAATATTTTTCACATAAAATTCATGATGACACCAAATATATTTCAATTGTTAGTTACTGAAAGTATTGATTGTTTTATAAAAGTCTATTTTTTTAACATACATAAATTTTATGTTGATTCCTTCAATTTCTGGCCCTGTTATTAGCTATACTGTGTCATGAGAGCAAAGCAGAGAGAACCAGGAAACAAGAAGCAAGGAAGATCATAGCAAATTGATGTTTGGCAAATGGCAGCTTTTGACTTTGTTTAACTATTATCAGTTATGCTATGTCATGAGAGTGAAGCATAGGAATGCAGATATGATTCAACTACTTCAACTGGTCCACTTGTAAAAAATAGGGAAAAATTGTGTTGGAAATAATTTTTGCAGATTAGCATTCATCAGACCTTCCTGAAGCCAAGTCCTTTTGTCAGAATCAAAAACGATTGATCTTTTATTCGCAAAGAAAAGAATTTTTTAACTTTTAAAACGTTTTTATGGGATATAAACTGGTACTAAGAAAAAGAAATGAAAAATTAATTTAATTTTTTCTTTTAAGTGTATGAAATATGTCGTCATTTTTGAATTTTCAAACTTTACAAGCTCTATAATTTTGCAAATAATTAAAATGATAATATATCTTCAATTAACTAATTTATTATACTTTGCAAATACCAGATTTTTCAAGCATGAAATTGACTGTTTTCATAAAATATCGTTATACCCTGGGATGAGTTTTCACTTGTGATACAATTGATTTAGCAGTTAATATAGGGAAAGGCTGAAATTAAAAAACAATAGCATGAGGCACCACTGGGATTTGAACCCAATATTAACCTATATCAGAATTTAATATATGCTAGTTTCTTCTGGTGATCCCATCAAGTTGATGGATTATGCTCAACTGAAATTATGTTGAAACTGAAAAAGAAAAAAGAGTTTCAGAGAATATATTTAAAAAATGGGGATAGGTTAAACAAATATATTAGCAGTGAAGATATCAGGCAAATTTGATCAGACTGAGTTGAAATTGTGAAGGAATGGCATTTAAATTGCGGGTTAATGTTACATTTTCCCAAGGTAAAGATTAATGATCAAAATAGAGCTCTTCACCAATTTGTTATCTGATATTAGAGTTCTTGCATTGAGGAAAATCGAAAGACCCAAAGGTGTTAGAAAAATTTCTAATTTTCAATAAATTTGAGATATTCATGTCAATCTCATGATATTTATCTCTGGTATACTTCAGATGAGTTGCACACATTCCCAGTTCAATATTTAATCTGGTTTCTGTTGCTGCACTTCCTGCTATAAAGCAACATCCTCTGGAAAATTTCATTAAGAGTATGTAATTGTTCAGCTGAATATCCCACTATGTTGTAGAATGAAAGTAATTTCTTTCTTGTGACAAGCATTTGACATTCTTTATTCTGCCAGAGAAAAATATTTTGAATCAGCAGCTTCTAAAATCTGTAATCCTCTTGCAACTGACCCATTCTAAAATCCAAAAGTGTCACAAGATATCAAGACATGCAACAACAACATGTAAGCCATTTCCTTTTGCATGATTAAACATGTCTTGTAATTTAGCAGTTATCTGTCAGCTTATAGCATAATAGTGAAAGAGGAAGAAAAGAAGAGAATTAATAAGGTAATGTGAAGGGGGTGTTTACATTAATCTACATATACTTTTCTATATAATGCCTTGAACAAAAATATAAGATCTGCATGACCTTATTCTTTAGTTATACATGCAAGTTCTAAAACTAAACAAAGTAGATTCAAAATTTAACTTACCATGCAAATAAGAGAAGCTGGTGTTCATATTTCTGATTTGTTGTTTGAGAACCTCAATGTATGTGGCATGATAGAATTGTTCCTTTTCACGATAGAGTGTCCAGTAGTCAGTCTCTTTTTTCAATACTTCAATTTCCTTTTCAACTTCAGTGATTTGCTTTTGAAGTTCTGTAAGAAATGTTTGCATGAAAGAAATTTAGGACATTCTTTTATTAAAGTTGAAATAATTTGGGGAGTGTTCCATATTTAAATGTTGAAAGTGTTTTTAAAAATCAATTTTAATTTAACTACATTGAACAAAATGAAAAGCAAACATTCTTCTTCTTATTTTTTTCTCTTGAAGAATAACTTTAAATAACTTTGGGCAAGATTTATATTGTTGACTTGGTGAAAAAGATTGTCTACATAGAGGTGGAAAAGCCATGCGACAGTTATCAAGGTCTTAAAGACACACAGGGAATCAGTGTAGAGGAAAGATGCTCACAGAAGGACCTGGGACCTGCTCCTAGGTTAAAGTAACAACTCCAGACGAAGGGAATCACAGATCTGTTCTGATGAAATGGATACCTATTATCTGTGTCAATAATGAAACCCTCTGCTAAGTCACACTACACATTCTATGTAGGGGTGGAGATATGTCTGTATTAGCTTTTCTAATAATAATAATAAATATTGTTATTATTATAACTTGTGTTTAAGCCTTTTTCTTAACCTATACACTCCAACAATATTTTTATATATTTCCTAAGGAAGCATTTCCAATGAAGATTTGAATATTCAGTCATTTGTATATTCACATTTTTCTGTAGAAAAGATTTAAGAATTGTTATTAAAATATACTTTGTGTGTGTTGGACTCTTTAATTTTCAAATTAAATACTACTACTATGTTTATTATATAAATATTTAACAAAATTCACAAAATTATTGGGAATATAATTTTAAGTGAACAATAACCAAATATAGAATATGATATAAAATGTATTTATTCCATGATAAATATGTCAATACAACCAAGTCTTTATAAATTCAACTACTGCCTACATTTTGGCTTGAAGTATAAAAGATATTTTTTATCTCTAAAGTCAACCACAAATACTCAAAAGGGTTGCTTATTCCTTTTTATACCAAAAAAAAAAATTAATCATAAATTCTTTCAAATATGGAATACCATTAAGTTTCTGTATATTAGCTAAAAATATGATATACAAAAATGTTCAATGAAACTATCAATTTTAAGTAGACATCATGTAGATAGACAGATGATTCTTAACTTATTTCTAAAAAAGTGAAAACTTAAGTGGTTGAAGAAAATCTTTTAAATAAAAACATATTTCTTAATAAGTTGTCATTGTTTTGCATTTATTATGGAAAGTAAAATGTTAAAGAATTGTTTTCATGATTTTACTATAAAGTTAAGAAAACAGTGTTGATAGTATATTTCTTAAATAAGATTAATGTCACATATTTGGTTTTGCATTCAAAAGTCTATTCAACTTTTTGTTTAAGTATCATACTTATTTAATTATTAATTTACAGCCCTTTAGATTTTACAAGACTGGTTGTTTTTAAGAATGGAATGGACAAATTTTTCTTTCTTTACTTGAATATCTATTTTCAATGATAAAGTAATATTATTGGGTAATATGGTTTCGACATTACATGAAGTGACAGTCTATCAATTCTTTCAGGAAGCATGACCTTACCTTGAAGTTCATTCTCTGTACTCTCAGCACATATCCTTTTTTCTTGAAGAGTCTCTAAGACAGCAGTTTTTTCAATGATTTCTTCATCTTCCCAAGTCTTTTCCACAATTCGGGATTGCTCCAATAAACGTTCCATTAAAATATTTTGCTCAGATTTCAATTTCTTATTCTAGAAAAAAAACTTAAATTACGTAATCCACAGAATTCACAGATTTCTGTTGCTTTTAAATTTTAGAAAATCTTATCAATAAATTAGAAAAGATATTTGAACATTCAAATAAGAATATATGAATACATACTCGTGCAAGGTGTCGTTCATTTTTTTCTTCCCATGCATACATTTGTTGTTTCATGTCCTTCAGTTTTTCTTCCATTACATTAGCTCTATTAAAAGGAAAGAAAGTAAAATAAGCAATTTGTTTTGCAATAGAGCTGCTTAGATATATTTGAAAACCAAATTTGTCTTCAAAGCAATTTCATTTTTAGCTCCCATATTTATCAGTACATTCAGTCAGATTCTTATAGGCAAGTCATTTTTCCATATGGTGTGTGGTTGTTAAATGACACTTAGTTTATTTAATTCAAAATGTATTGGATATTATTTACCAATAAGCAAACAAAAACTAATTTCAAACCACCTACAAATCAACAATTCGTCTTGCATGGAGTATTTCTGCCATATATGGTCTGGAGCCCCTTCTGTTTGCCTCGGGGTTCTTGATAGGCTCCGGAGGCGGATATGCAATATAATTGGCCCTGATCTGGCATCTCGTCTACAATCACTTTCTCACAGACGTGCCGTCGCCTCTCTCTGTCTGTTTTACAAATACTTTCATGGCAATTGCTCCGAGGAGCTGCATTCGCTGGTTCCCAGACTTCATGAGTTCAAGCGCCCTACGAGGCTGGCATCCCATTCTCACCCCTTCACTGTCGAAACTCCTAAATGTAGCCGTCTCTTCTACTTCAATAGCTTCATGTCTCGTACCTCTCACCTGTGGAACTCCCTTCCCTATTCCAGTTTCCCTGAGAGCTATAATCTCCAGCTATTCAAATGTAATGTCAATTGACATCTCCAGTTGCCTTGATCTATCCACTACTCTTCTCCTCATCCTTTCTTCTATCACTCCTATCTGATCTTGCTCCAAATTTTCTGTAACCCCTTGCGTCCTAGTGACTTCCCGCCTTGCTTGGGGTGAAATGCTTAAAAAAAAAAAAAAAAAACTTGTTGCGGAATGATTACTTTGTTTAAATAATGATAAGAATGTATTATTTTTTTTTTGCTGGGTGAACAAAAACATCTCCAGAAACATTTTAATCTACTTGTATGGCACAAAGCTGTCAAACACCACAAATATAAGACAACAATATTTTTTTAAATAAAGCATTTATATAATAATATGCAAAGTTGAATGCTGAAATGACTCAGGGAATTTATATGAGTTGTAGAGTTTAAAGCTGATGTTTTATACACAAAATGTTTTTTTTATGGCAAGTAAAACATGTCTTTGTTTAGTGTGTTCAAAATGTATGCAAATAATATAGGATTTGTAATGAAAAAATCAGTTTGTAGTCAAACAAACTGTTTTTAAACAAATCTTTTTAGTTAAGAATTTTAATATTAAGAATACTGTAGAAGTTATTTACCTTTGTTAAATTGTTTCTTTTGTCAGGGTTTAAAAAGTAAAATATTTTTTTATAAGATAAAAGTTTAAAATTACTTGAAAGTACATTCCATTTGAAAGAAAAGTTGTCAAAGAAGAAAGTGATGTATATTCACAAAAAGTTTGTCATAGATAATTCTTGAAAGTTTGTTGACTGAGAGAAAATTTGAATATCAGTTGAAGATCAAAGTTGTGATTCGTGTTTAAAGAGAAAGTTTTAAACTTTATACTTCTGAGTTGATTTGATAAATTATCGAGAATTCCTTGCCAAGCAACATGTTGAATAAAAATGTGCTGAAAGTGAGTTTTGAGGTCTGTGAGCTCTCAAGCTAAAATTGCAAGATAAATTATTTCTGGTTCACTGCAGGAAATAAATATCAAACAGAAACATGATGAGTTAGATGTATTTAAATTCTCATTGACTCCCTGATGAGACCCACTTGTGTTACTGTATTTATTTTGTTTTAGGTCATGTGACACGCTCCAAAACTTGTTCAAAAAATCTTGGCGGCAAACGAGTTGCGTAGGTGTTGTATACATTTTTACACTTAACAACCAATCAGCAATCAGACTTAAATAGAAGCTTCTGTGATCCACTTTTTGCACAAAATTTGCCGTTGAAAGAAATTATATTACATAGAAAATGCATTGAATCAAAAATAATAATAACATAATACAATCAAATGGAAGCAGAATGCTAAACAGTCATGTCTTCAATTCACTGTTACATATCACTTGAAGTAGATATGGTTTACTACTTGATATATTGTAAAATTTTCAGTTCAGAAATCAAGCAATGTACTATTTTGAAACTTTTGTAAAATTGAATAAATAACAGACTATTGTAACAGACTTTAAGGTGAAGAAAACATATTTTGTGCATTATATATTAAAGATGTGCAAAATCTTGTAAAAGTTGTGAAGATGGTGATTATGGTGAATGTTGTAGATGTTTAGATTTGTATGTAAATTTTACTTCGTAGCCTCTTTTTCATTTCAAGTGATCTGTTTCATTTTTTGGACATTCTTGTTTTTGTACAGTCATGCAAAATGTTTTATGTTTTCTCAGAACCCAAGCTGACATGTTTTACTAGTTTTAATAGATGCTGGATGTAACATTTTGTTATTTTTTTTTAATATTCAGAAGTGAAAAATAATGTTTCTAAAATAGCTGCCTGTAGAACTTTTAAATAATTTTCTTTCCTTTTATGCTGCATTATGTAACAATGATCAAAAACAAAAAATAATTGGAAACTACAATAAAATGTCACTAACTTGTATTTTGTTGTTGTTACTTTTTATTAGTATCGTTTAAGATTATAATATTTTTTGAGAAGACATTAAGATTCAGTTGGCAATAATAATAATACAAAAATCAATGAAATTTGTTAATTTCAGATTTAAAGGGAAGTAACTCTTCCTTTTTGTTTGAATTTGCTCCCCTTTATTCTTGCAAATTGTTGATGTTAATCTATCTTTAATCACTTTCTTCTTCTTCTTCTTTATCGGTTGTTTTTGTTTATTTTGCAGCTGAGGGAACATCGGCCACATCAGTGTGCCACATTCCTGGTAACTGGCTAGCTGCACACATGGCAGTTCTCATTCCAGATCTCCAAATGCATCTGCCATCACATTCTGTCAGCTGCCTTAATATCATTTTGGGTCTCCCTGGCACTCGCTTTCCTTTAACCTGAAAGTCATGGGTGCAAATCGCCAACAACTTATATAGTGGCCACATCCTTTGACTTGATGTTACAGATCCAGCTAATCATGGTCCTGTCATTACACTGCAAGCACTAGAAGCGTGGCCTGATCATGGACCAGGTCTAACTTGCATGGAGCATCACACTGTAAACACAAATGTCATAAACATGGCTACATATCCTGTGTGAAATGTTGTGACAAGAGAGGGAGTGAGAGCTGTCCATTAAACTTCCTCCAGGTATTTTTGTCCATTCTATGGTTGCAAGGTCACAGCTGCCTACTGCAGAGAGCATGTCCTCCAGATAGCAGAAGGAGACTACCATATCCAACTCGTCAGGTTCAACCCAGACACTGGTCGATGGTCTGTCATCAGTGGGGCATGCTGATCCCAAACAACATGCACATTTGAAATTTAAATCCTTCACCGAGCATTTGAGCCCACTGCATTTCTTATGCACCCAGAACTTGCAGTCATTGCAGAAGATACTGTTGTTGCCTACACTAGTGTGACATGCACATAAGCTTTGAAAGAGGTCAAGCCCAGTGCCACAGATCATTATCTTTGTCTTCCTCGCATTTACTTCATTCAGACAAATTGTAACTCTATATGAATATAAAGAAATTAATAACCGATTTCTATAATTTATAATATTTAATTTAGAAACAATTATTTCAATTATTTCAACAACTTTTTGAGTGATGGCTCTTGAAATGAAGATATTGTTCAGTGTCTGTAGCTTTGTAGTAGATATCTGTGATAATGCGGTTGTTTCTATTTCTAATGAGTATATCTAAGAATTGCATTTCATTAAAATTATAGTTCAAATTCACCCTAGAATATAATACAATACACAAAATGGAGCTAGGTTTAAAAAGATATACAGAGGTCATGAAAAGATAAGAATAAAGACATCCTTCCTTTGCCTTTTTTCTGACCAATCCTAGTTGTTTTATTACCCCTTAAGCAGAAGAATATTTTCTCCACAAGTTCAATTTTGATTACTACTACACACAAAAGACAATGGTTAAACATCGGAAAACATAAGGAAAAATTAATTCCTTTAAATAATATGTCAAAATAACCAACACTTTGACTAATGAAGATTGCAAGACCCAAAAACTGTGTAGCAAAATTTGGAAAATAAAGTATAATATATATTTAAAAAATCCATATTATAACAAAAAAATGTTTGTAGCTTCTCTTTTCTGTTTAATATATATATATATATATATATATGTATGTCTGTATCATATATATATATATATATATATATATATATATATATATATATATATATATATATATATATATATAATAGACTCAGTAAAATAGAGTAGTTGGCAAGATAATACCAAAAACCACTAGTCAATTTAGTTTTGAGCTGAATTAACTTGTTTCTGTTGTTTAGTGTTCACTATTTTTACCCTCATTAATTTTTAAAAATCATTTTTGAAATTATTTTTTTTATTATTTCTGCATTTACTGTTTTCATAGAATGGTGTAAATAGAATTGACTGAAAAATTTGTAATAAAATCTAAAATGCAAACAATTAAAAAGTTACAGTTCATACTGGAACAGTTGATACGCATAAAAATCTGATATTAAAAAAAAGCACAAAAATAAAGATAGGAGAGTAACAAATATATGGAATAATGTAACTCAATGTTTCCATTTCTGAGCACACACACATCTTTAATCACTTAGTTTTATGAAATTATAGAATAATTAAAATTTGTCCATCTATATGTGGAAGTTACCAAAGTAGGGGTTTACTAGTTTATAAGTGGTTAAAAATACATGCAAAGATAATTAATACAAAGATATATATTTCATGTACTGATAAAAATTTATATCTCTTATAATAAAACAAATAATATTCAAAGTGTTCATAAGTTAATATCAGTAAGTTCTCCTGTTGAATGTCTAAGCCATTTCTCATAATGAGAGAGAGAGAGAGAGAGAGAGAGAGAGAGAGAGAGAGATAGAGAGAGATCCTTGTAAATCAGTATTTCTTGATTTTTGATTGGTTTACAGATGTGAGTCATGACTGGTGTAGGGTTACCAAAATGATTTGCCAACTTTTAGTTTTCTATTTTTTTTCTATCACTACAAAAACATAAATGGATATTTTTGTGGGAATGCTTGAAACCATAGACAGTTTTGTATGTTTTCAGATGATGAAGAACAGATTGGTGAAATGGTGATTATTAAATGGCTTATAACCAGAAAAAATATTTAACTTCATTTATAACAAAGTAAAATGTTTCAGTGCTTTTTACTTACTTGTATAATAAAATGGCTTCATACCCAGACATTTTTGGTTCTTTGTCTTTTTTGTTTTTTTTTACTATCTTCACCTTTTTCTTCTTTTTCTCCATATTTTAACAATTTATTTCACTGGAAAGTATGTAAGACTGTTGCCTACAATATAAATTAAATTCTCAAATTATTTATATTCATAGTAACTGTAAGAATGACCACATCATTAAATATTTTATTTTCAACTGAAATGTTAACATGACAAAAAGCTTTCAAAATGAAATATGACATGACAAAAAGTTTTCAAATGAAATATCTTCAATATTATTTTGATGAATGCAGATACTGCTTATAATTGATAATGCCATTAAAAAAAGGAGAATAATTTAATAATTCTATTGATTTATGTATACTAATCAAAATTCAGTTTCAAGAACACTCAAGACATATAAGAAGTCATACTAGGATTCATTATTGGCAGCCACAATCTTGAGACTAAAATCTGAAGGTGCATTTGGTTAGCAAAACATTCCTTTGGAAATCTAAGAAAAGTATCAAGAAACAGGAAAATTGCATTAGAAACAAAGAAAAGAGTACTGAGCTGTTATGTAGTATCAGTCCTAATACAATAGAAATGTGTTTCTACAGAAGGATACTGAGGATACCATGGATAGTATATGTGAGCAATGACAACATTTTAGAGAAAATGGAAACAAAGGCCATTTATACTTAGCATCAGGAAGAGACAGTTGAAAAGAAAATTTGACACTCACAGGAAATATTGAAGGCAAGAGGAAAAGAGGAAAGTTTGTTTAAATGGTTAACAGAACAGGGATAAGAAAATTGGCTAAAGGACAAACTTTATTAAGGATATTACAAAGGATATAAAATTGGTAGAGTCATGATCACCCAAATACTGAAGGGATGTGGTGCATAGAGGAAGAACCAAAATTCACTGGATTTTAAACAAAAAGTTGCTTTTTAACATGAGAAAAAATTATAATTGAAATATAGTTAGTTTTTTCATCATTCATAGTAGAAAGTTCTACATTTAATAACCCTATACTTTAGAATTTGTATCAGACAAGAACTGGGCACTACTTAAATTGACTGAACCACTCATAAAAAATAGGGGAATATTTTTTAGAGAATAGTTTTTAAAAAATTTGTTTATTTTTGTATTGTAGATTTTGTAAATTTTTACTTACAAATGTCGAATCTCCATCTCTACACTTCACTTCCCTGTTACAATTTCATAATGTACATTTTTCGATATCACATTATAATATTTTCAAATTTACATAAATTAATAAATTACTTGTATTTAAGTTAAATAATTATTATACCCCAATGTCTGTGAAAGTCCCTTTGAAAAAAGACCACCAAAATGTTAAAAAAATAAGTTAAAGTATTCTAAACAAAAAATGAAATTAAAAAATAATATCAGTCATAGACAGATATCAATGATGTAAACAGTTTCAAACTTGTCATTTGTAAAAGTCAGGGATCAATTTCACACTTATACAGCAGGACTCCCCCACTTTCTAAATTGATAAAAATCAATATTTTTTAATTCTGATAAATGTTGTGATTTGAGGAATATCTAAAAAATGCTAATTTAAATAAAATATTCCACCCAAATTTTCTTAATGAAGACCATCCTTCATCTGATCTTATAGATTGGCACTACAGAATCACAAAGAACTTTACCAAATATTAAAAACCACATCACTTGACTTCCAAGCACATGCAATGAGAAAGGAAAAGAAAAATATAATCACCATGTTGACTTTATACATTAATGAAAGGTTTAAGAAAGAATCTCCTATTAATATTAGAAAGAGCAATAACAGTTTTCCTTAAAAAATATTTTAAGAGAAAGAATTTATAAATTTCAACTGACATTAACACTAAATGTTTTTTCAATGAATACTGCATGTTTTCTGTGTGTAAATGTTTAATTTTACCATACTTTATATTGATTTTGCTTTCTGTCAGTTATGCTTTATGTTGGCCACTACATGTTATTAGTGTCAGTTTCACATGAATAGAAATCAGTTTCTCAAATTACAAGAATCTGTAACATATTTTTGATTACTATTCAGCAATCATAGAATTATGTTAAAAATATATGAGAAAGATTTGCTAGTTTCGTTTTACAACATTAGACTGTAAAAACAAGCACTGAATTTTAATTAATGAGGAATTTCAGTTCTCTTTATTTATATTGAAATTAAATGACTGATTTCATGGCATATTGAACTTGCATCTATCATGCTTAGAGTCCTATCAAATTTTGTAGTCAATTAAAGGTTGATGGTAAATAAACAATCATCATTACTTTGGGTCTTTTATCAGTGGCTTGAGATAATTTTCCACACATTTACTCCTTCCTTTAAAGAACACTTTTTCCTGCTTCATTTGGGTTTGTTTTCTTTTCCTTTTGTCTCTTTCACCCGTGGAAGAACATACACCATACTTACTACCAAGATAGCTGCTGGTTATTATTGGAGGTTGTAGAGAATTGAAATGACACTATGCCTATTTATGAGTAAAAGTCCAAATAAATTGTATAAACATTTTCACAATATGTTTGCTTTTATGGGTTTAACTCTTATAGTTTTTGAGACACAGAGACAAATCAAACACATGATATCAAATTTTATTGATGCTTTCACAATAAAAGTGGTATTATTATATGTTATTATGCAAGTTGAGGATTTTTCATTATATTGTATATATATATATATATATAAATAATATATATTGTATATATATATATATATATATATATATATATATATAATATATATTGTATATATATATATATATATATATATATATATATATATATATATATATATATATATATATATATATAGCTATTGATATTTTTCAATTTCAGAGATATACAGATTGTTATAGGTTGTAAGAAGGATAAATAACCTAAAGAGAAACAAAACATTCTAAAATTACTGAGTTGAAATTGCAAAAAGTTGAACAATCAACAAAATAATTAGTGAACAATATCAAAAAGAAACTGAAACCATAGAAAAGATAAAAAGAAGAAATAAAAGAAATTTGAGGAAAATAATAAGGAAGAAAAATGGATTGACCAGCATGAAAATATTTTACATTTTTTGAAAATGTAAACAGAGAAAATGCAAATTATTAATAAATATTATTATTATTAATAATATTATTATTATTAATAATATTATTATTAATAATATTATTATTATTATTAATAAATATTAATGTGTCTTTAAGTAAGCATAACAAACAGGAAAAGGTGAAAAAGTGAAAGTACATGAAAACTGATTTTACATTAGTAATGATGAATATAGAACTACATTGGATGGAAATAATAGCTATGCTAGAGGTTAGATTCTTCATGGAAAATAATCAACACAAATTAGAAGATAACAATTAGGAGGTGGAGTAATGTTAAAAGCTAATATTGTATATAGAAAAATAACATATCCCTTCAGTGTTGATGACGGTGCCAAAATAAATGCAGAAAATTATTGTAAGTTACTCTGCAAGACATTTATGAATGGTGCAAGTCATTATTAAGAAGCTTTGAGTCAAAGAGTAAGACTATACTCCTTCACACTCTGCAAAGTTACCCACCTTGTCAAATGGTTTCAAAGTCACTAAATTAACATAATAAGCCACAGCCTTTCCAAGTCATAATTCAGTAAAGTTGTAGTCCATCATTAAAAGAGATGTATATGAAGAGTGAAAAATTTCTGGGAAGCAATAGAAATGTAGAAAAAGTAGAACAGTTAATGGGAGATGAACATTATTGCATGTCAATGAGTCAATATTAATGTGTAAAATAAAATTTATTCAAGTCTATAACACATGTATTAATCGAATACATGTTTTTTGTAGCCAATAACTTTTGGATTTATTTATTATAAATCAAAATTTATTTAACAGTTTATATATTGTTCATAAATATATCCTGAAAGTTTTACCAACACTGATTTGTTAATACCAAATTTACTGTGAAAACATTGATTTAAAGAATAACATCCAATAAACAGTCTGAAGTTATTATGCAAATCTTATATGATATAAACACGTCAATAACTGAAATTTGCTTTTAACAGTTATTGTCAAATATTAAATGATTAAAGTTAGACATTAAAACAAATCTTGAGTTTTAACATGTTTTATTTAAGTTATTGAATTTATTACAAAAAACTGCAGCCTAAAGTTATACAGATTAAACTAGTTAGGCCTCTGAAATTTAATAAAAACTATTTAAAAATTTTTTTCCATAAAGTATGTTGAAGCATAGATAACAGAAAGGATTTAACAAATTCTGAAAAACAAAAAAATGACAAAGTTATTGAGTGAGGAACTTATATATTGGAGATGTCAAAGGATTTTTGCAGAGATCATTGTATGATAATGAAAATATAGTTAAGTTGAGAACTATAAGCAAAGGAAAAGGCTTTAAGAATTTGTCTCCTTGAGGGGAACAAAAACTAAAGTGAGTTATAGCAATAAAATCACTTTTGACTAGTATTCAGATCTTTGAATAGGCTAGAATTGAGGGAGCCAAGAGGATAAAAGGTGTAGAATACTTTTCAAATTGAAACCTGTTAAGAAATCTCCTAGGAAAATTCCTCTCAGTAAAGCAATTATTTAAAAGCATCAAAATTGGGCCAAGAAATACATGAAAATTGACTTTTCTAAAGTAATTTTCATGGATGACACTCACAGGAGCTAATGGATGGGCTAAAGGATGAATTTTATCCAATGTAGATGTGCTTGTGGCTAAACTAAGGCAATGAGGAGGGTGGCAGTGTGATGATTTGGGCTGGAATCGTTGACCAAACCATTATTGAACCATTCAATGTTGATGAAGGAGTTAAACTGAACAGTGCTATGTTGACTTCATGGACAAGATTTTCTTTGAATGGTATAAGTTTTATATTATTATAAAAACTGCTATAAAACAGTTTTTATATTATTATAAAAACTGCTTTAAACTTTATTATTATGAAAACTGTTATAAAACAGTTTTTTATATTATTATAAAAACTGCATTAAAACTTTATTATAAAAACTGCTATAAAACAGTTTTTATATTAATATAAAATAGCTTTAAAAAAATTTTATTATAAAAACTGCTATAAAACAGTTTT